CCCCTTTGCAGATGGGGCCTCTCTTGGTCTCAGCCAACCCCACAGCTCCCTGTCTGCAGCACCACTGCACCACTCCCACTCCATCGTCTTTTTTCTTTGCAGCTTTCCCCAGGAAGGACCAGTAAATCCCTGCCACCTCACAGTTCTACCCATCTCTGTGGAAATTAGACAAGTGTGGATGAGGAAGTTTTTTAAAAGTTGCTTTTTAATGCACATTTTTTGCCCTTTGCTCCCCGTAGTATTTTATTGTACAACCTGAGGTGATGAATGCCTTGCTGAGCTTCAGGCAGCACTTTTCCTACAAGGTGGTTTGTACCTGTCCAGCATATTTGGGGAATGGTCCTTTGTCCTCCTCTTGAACATCAATGGTGGTGATAATCCAGGCCCTTTTTGTTCGCTTCAGAGGTCGCAGACTGTCTGACTGATAAGAATCCATCCCCTATTGGATAAAAAACAGGGTTTAGTGTCACAGTTTGCACAGTTAGCTGTTGTGTATCTGTTATTATACAGTATTGAGTACAAACCTGAATACTCTTCCTTCTGATGGCTTGTCTTACATTGAAATTTTCAATTTCATGAGAAAAACTGTCAGCAGCAGTAACCTTGTGAAAAAGAAAAGTGATCGTGACAAGTGAGGGTCACTAGAAAATCTTGATGTGTTGTCTAGGAGGAATTTGCCTTCACAGAAACATATTGATTCAGTTTTGACAGTATTGTATTGAATTGTACCTAACCCTTAACTCCACAAATATCATCACAAATATCATCCATCTCATTCCAAATGAATGCCATGGGAGCTGTGAGAGCAATTCCTCTGGTCAGGTGATGCCAGACCCCACAGAAATGCTGTGTGCATGCAGATACCAGTCTTTGGTATCATCTCTGTGGCTTTTCCTAAATCAGGTATCTCCAGTTTTTAAATATTGACCCCTGTCTCTCTGTGTCCAGTGCTCCTTTAGAAGTTGTCTGGTATTGGCAGGACATAAACTGACTTTTGCAAAAAGAGTTAAGTCTGGGGAGAATTTCAGAGTCTCAGGGGCTCTGTGGTGTGACTTGAAGTGTTCCAAACACAACTGATTTACCAGAAGATGATCACTGCACCAAAATCTCTAACTCAGATGAGTAAAAAAAATCGCTGAGAATGGTGACTACACCCAAATTGGCACAATTTGCCTTTTTGTATAAATGCAAGCATCCTTCCCTGCTTCAAACACTGCTTTTTACTGGAAATCTTTCACCTCCAAGGACTGTAACAGTGCTCAAATTAAACCATTGCCATTAGTTCACAGGTAACTTGGGCACCTTTCTCCTACTTCTTGACACTTCCCTTGGAAATTTTGGGGTTTATTACTCACCCTATCAAATGTGCCCAAAAATGGAACAGATCTCTGCCTGCCCAGACTCAGGTAAAGGCCTTTACCCCATGACTTTATTCTGAAGAAGGAAAATACTTATAAAATTGTCACAGTTATAAACCTGATGAGCAATGAATGGGGATCATCAGTATTGCCTTGGAGCTGTAAAGTTGTTTACATGCAGGGAAAAGCTCTGCCATGTGAAAACAGCAAGCAAGGCTGCAACTTGGCACTTGCAAGTTGGCCTTGTTGGATTTGCTCCAGGTTCAGCCCTTCTGAACAAGCTGTTTCCCCCTTTTCCATGTGTAGTCACTTTTAATCGTTTTGGAAGCTTTAACTGTGTATTTTCTGGCTTCCCCACTCCTCTTGTTCCCCTGATTGGCCATAGCTCAGGGTAGAACTGTCTCCATTCCAGCCAGGGGCACTGCTAGAAAGGAATAACGCAGTGCAGGACCATGAATCCCCCAGAAACACTCATGGAAACGCCACTGAATTCCTGGGGGATGATGGTTAACGTGGCAGGGCCCCACCAGGCACCAGTGTGCTCAGCCAGGGGGGAGCACTCCAGTATTCCCAGCAGGATGAGCAGAGGGACCCCAGCCCTGGAAAGCCTTTCCCAGACACCTGAGCCCAGGAGCTGGGGCAGAGGAGCCTCCTGTTTCAGAGGCACCAGTGGGGACAGACAGAACTCAGAGGGGTTAAGGTGGGAAGGGAGATGAGCTGGTCCAGCAGGTCCCCTCAAGAACACTGCTCAGGATTGTGCCCACCAGGAATCCGAGTGTCTGCAGGGAAGGAGTCTCCATCACCTCTCAGGGCAGCCCGTTCAGGCCCCAGCCACCCACACAGAAGTTCTCCTCACGTTCGGGTGGAATGTTGTGTTTCCATCTCCTGCCCTCTGATCCTATGGCTCAGCACCCCGGGGAGATCCTGGCTCCATCGTCCTGCAGTGCCCCCGTGCAGCTGGAGCCCCAGCCCACATCCCAGCCCACACCCACCTGCAGGAGCAGCAGGATGATGAGCAGCTCCAAGGGGCGCAGCAGGACCATGGGGGACCTGGGAAGATCCTGCCATGGGAGGTGGGAGCATCCAGGTGCAGCAGAGCCGGGTCTGTGGAACGCTGTGTGATGGCTCCCTGCAGCCCAGGGCTTTTCCACCAGCATTTCCAGCCCTGTGGGCCACCCCAGAAGACAAAGTAAAAAAACCTGAACTGTTGTTTGTGCCAAACTGAAGTGGCTCCAAGCAAAGCTCAGTCCTCCTGTGCTGCATCTGCCACTTCCACATGCAATAAATGGGTCATGGGTCCAATTTCATTGCTATTTTACAACTAACAGTAATCACGTGTCTTGGTTCATCAGTTCCTTGGAAATGCCATTCCCTAATACCCTCAGCATTGTTTGCTAAGAATAAACAACTCTTTACTTTCAATAGGAGCTGGGTTCGTCTGGGTTTTGGCCCAGGAGATCTGCTTCTCTATAATATCAGATTTTGAAACAAGAGCAAGTTCTTTCAAAGCTTATTTGAAAGCTGTTCCACCCAAAGGTCACCAAGCAAGAATGAACTTGTATATCCAGAGATAAACTTCCCACACAGGGTGAGAAAAAGATGTATTACTTAAAACTTCATAAGGAAGCAGGAAATTAAAATTAAGAAGCAGAGAATGGTAGAGAGCAGGGGGAAGGTTCTGGCTTCTTTGAAAAAACGTCTTATAGCATTCTCCATTCTTCTGATTTGCTTTTACTGGGCATATTGTCTTTTCGAACTGAAAAGAATTAATTTAGTGTTCTGGAAGTTGTGAAAGGAAGAACTGTGTATGTGTATGGAAGAACTGATCTGTTCAGGTGAGAAGAAAAGCAATAGATCGTGTGAAACAGGCCACACTCAGGTAACTGAGAATGGGCAGGAAGGCAGGAGGGATCTTCCAAAACTCAAAAATAACAGCAACAGGTTAAATAGCAGAGCAGGACAGGAAGGCTTGGACAGCAGGAAAAGTTCAAATAGCAGGAATGTTCTGACTGTAAAATTGTTGTGTGATACTTCACAAGGGAGCTTTGTAAAGCTTACTATAAATATTACAGAAATAGCAAAAGATATTTTTAAAATAGAAAGAAAAAAATAAAAAATAGCAAAGCTATTTTTCCCTTTATTTTCCTCTGAGTTAGCCTCAACTCAGCGCATGAACACACTGCGTATGAAATTAAGCCCATTCCCTACTGTGGGAAAAATCCAGTCCGGGTTTTGCTCCATGCCGTACTCCAGGAG